AAGAACGTTTTTCAGATTTACCCTTAGACTACCAACTTTATTCGTTGCATGCTAATTTTTAATAACCAGATCGGAAATTCTGAAACCGATCACGTTGTTATGAGGAAGGTAATGAAAACTGTGAACACAGAAAACGCTTAATTATTACAGGTATAAATGTTCCATCTCACTTTCGTTTAGTTTTGTCTTTATGTGTGTAAATAATCCTTTGCCACGAAGGGTAAATCATACAGCAACAACAAGAAGAAAGGACGCCATCTGGCTCTTTTTCTTTTGCGAAATTTCTTTTACACTAGACAGATAAAAGAGGTAGCATCTCATCAGGCAACGGGATGAAACGTGAGAGCAGCTAATTACTGGTTTTGAGTCGCCTTTGTAACTGACAGACCTCTTTGTTTTCATGGCAGAAGAATATCTGAAGTATCTCCTGTTCTACAGGAAATGTTTCCTTGCAAGACAGTGCGGCGGAGTACATGTGTCACTGTGGTGATTTAATTAGGTTTTGTGTGTAAAATAGTCTAATGTACAAATGTTTTAATGCTAGTTTTATAGAATCGATAATGACTGCTTAATATAGAATTAGGGAGGAAAAAAGTTGTTGTGCCTTTGTTTTAAAAGTTTTGAAATTCTCACTGGGTAACGGGAATAGTATATATTCTGTCCCTTCATTCAGTGTAAGGACTTCTATAAATAAGAATAAGAAACAATGCCGAGGAACTGAGAAAGAGTTAAAACCACACAATGTGGAGCCTAGTTTTGCACTCTGCTAACGAAGCTACAGTAATCAAACTGAAGTTTTGAGGCAGGCATAGAGATACGTTCTCCGAATCGTGGTTAACCACCTATAATACTAATCTACATAGCGTAATTACGCAAAAGATAACTATCTAAACAGTGCTAGTTCAGTTTGTTATAAATGTATATTTACTGTCCGCAAAGAGATCTGTGACTCATGCGGAATGAAAAGTCACGTGCTGCATTAGAAGCAGATCGAGAAAAGTCGATCTTGAACTGATCTGATGTAAACTTACGAGATTGGCTTTATAGTGCTAAAGGTAATATAAAATAATAACAATATGATGTGTTACTTGCCCTGCCTTAGACTTTCGTGATCTCTTCAGCATCCTGTTTCCAATAATCTTCAGTCTCTTTTCCCTGGGTTAAAACACAAGATTTTACACTTACGCAAAACCATAGGTAATATAATAATATTTACAAGTTTAAGTGGACGAAAGGAGATAAAAATTCAGAACCGATTTGTAGCGATTATTTCCTAGATTTGCTCTGATTTAATTTCCATGAGAATTTAGTGTTGTGGTTTTTCTGTCGTTCCCAAAATAAACATATAGAATATTTCCATCGTGTAAAATGGTATAGGCTTATTACTTATATTTATACTATGATACTTTTTTTACATCATGATGAAGAGTTGTGTGAATACTAAGGATGGAATCAGATTTCAAATTGGAAGTTATTTTTCAAAATTGAAGGAAGCTACAGCCAATGTGATTACAGAAAGTTATGGTGCAAATTGCCTACCCAAATCTAACACAGATTAAAATAATTCTGCCATAGCGTAACCGTATCTACGAATCTGGGTTGTACATGTACACTTATATAACTTGCGTCACGACCTACGTGTTTAGATGGCCGTGCTTTGCAGCGCCATACCGCTAAAACCCCAGCCAACAGCCGCATAGGAAGTTCTAAGTTCCCTTTTCTCGAACGATAAATGCAGAAGTTAAGATATTCTACATTCTTCTTGTAATTGTAACAGTGTTTCTGGAATCTCGTTAAAAGGTGTATGGTATTGTTAATTCAGACCGAATGTTTTTAAAATATTTAGGACCAGGAATTTAATATAAAACATCCGTTTACTCACACTTTATAAGAAATAACACTTAATAACTTACTAAAATCAGAATGGCAGCCATGGGAGAAAAAGAAATGCTTACGTAACAGTAGACGGAAGATGAAGGGAACAGACTACATGACAGATAATAGACGCAGATGACAAGGTAATGTTTATGTATCAACTGGAATGTATCTGGGTCAAGGCTCCATTGGCTGTTCGTGTGAAAACCTCTTTTCATAGAAAGCGGGGATAGTCTTGACTATATGAGCTTCTTAAGGACTGCACTTCACACAGTAGTAATAGTTAAATTTTAAAAACATTTTGTTATTTCGAAATTATAACTTATAAATATTTTCAGCCCAGATGTGTCAATTAATCTCTTTGATGAAGTCACTTCATATTTAAGCTCGCATTGCACGATCTGATAGATGTTGAAAGGTATTATCTGTACTGCACTGAGAGAGTTTATACAATAGCATCACGTAATATAAGCCTTCATGGGCATAATTAAACTTGCTTTAAGCCTGCCTTCTCGTTTGCTATACCACTGTTCCCAATCCGCGATCAAGGGTTCTAACTGTGTCTGTGTCTCAAGATCAAAAGGTTGGCATTTAGGTGCCTACCTCATGAACCTGTAGCTGTAAGACCCACCACCCCTCTTAACGACCGCAGTGTTCTATCTGCTGCTTCAGTACGCGCATTTATACAAAGGAGGGTTAGAGATAATATGCAGATACGTCAAATTGATATATTTCAGTTTCCCAAACCGAGGATTGAGATGGCAGTAAGTGAAAAATGAAATATGTCTCGCATTTTAAATTAAATAACCTCTGTCTCATTTCTGTTCTAAAAAAATAAACGCTGATCTGTGTAAAGCAATTAGAGAAATAACAAACGCTTGATTAGTAAGTAAACCTGTGTGAGAGTATTCGTTTGAATTGTTATTTAGAAGTGAGGAAAGTAGACTTGATTAATTTTGAATGGCACAGGGCTGTACCTACCATTTTCCCAATGTTACTACAGTCTTATTTATAAAAATTTATTTAACTTTATACTGTTTTATTGCCTGTATTGGCCGCATTCCCATAAACTAAATTCTAGGGCTTTATTTTTGACTACAAATAAATTTAAATAAGAATCAGGGGGGCGGAAATTAAATTCATGAGGAAAGTAACAGTTTCTATTAATTTGGACTATCAAAATAATTTAGACTTATTGAAGGATTTAAATACACAACCAGTGACAGAATTGATAGAAAGTTACAAAAGTAACGGGAAGAATTATGATGTTCGAATGCCCCAAAAGTCCCATTCAGAACAATCAGTTGCCAGCCAAATGGATGAAGAAGATCTTCGAGGACCTTCTACAAACGCTGGCATAATACCGTAACAGGCCACCGAACTTAAGACGTGAAAGGCTGATGATAATGACTGTCATTAAATCATAAATTACGCTTCCCTGTGCACCACGCTGTGAAGTTATATGGGGATAATGGAGGTAAGGCTTCAGGCATTCTTAACCTCAGTACGGCGGCAGATTAAGATAAGTGATAGCATCACACGCCAGGGAGAGTACTTCAGAGCCACATGATAAGGAAACAGGAACCAAATTCGAATCTAATTGCAGTAACGAGGTGAAAAATTCCGGCCACAGAACCTGCAGTCAGTGTCTTGTAATAAGTTGAAATTGTGAATTTGTTCGCATATGCCTCGAGAACGAATAAACCGATCTGGACAAAACGTAGCATGCTTATTTGTTTATAAACCGATTTGGACAAAACGTAGCACGCTTATTTGTTGAGACGAGGAAGGGAACACAGCATGGTACAATCTCTGTGGAAGTTGTCCTGAGTTCGATGCCTGGTGGAGCCGTTTAATATAGCTCGGAAACTAAGTACGATAGAACAGCGACGCGAAGACCAGAGCTTTTTGTTTCAAAGAGGAGATTACGTAAACAAAGGCCACAAACCCTAAAAGAATTTTATATAGTTCTATGAAGATAGTTTTCTGTAGCCGGAAATGAAGCGCTGTAGGAGAAGGGCACAAAGAACAAAGTTGTTTGTTTCGACGATGACTTTACAGGAACTAAGGAAACTGTCTCTGGTTCGAGTCTAGCGAAAGATGTTGGGTTTACGGATTATAATGTTTACATGATATTTAACGATGCGTACGAATGGTCAGGCATATTTAAGCTTTGGGGCGAGAGAGATTGATAAGGCAATGTAGCCATTTCTAGGATTTCCCCGCTGTAGTACTGTGGGCAGTCTGATAGTGTTACAAACACTTTAAAGCAATTCGCCGTTGCGTACCTGCTACACGTTCGTAAAAGTAATGCCTATTTGCTGGTTCGAATCACAAAGAGGTAACCCGCAACGCGGAATGCGTCCAGTCATTCATGCATACTGATGCTAGTGCGGACACTAGCAATAAAGTCATAGAATTGTAACTTTGTTAAATTGTTGGGTTTTTTTTACATCAGATAACTTTATTTTAGAAATACGACAGCAGAATTAACGCATATGTTTTCAAGTCATGTTTACGTTTCACGGTGTATATAACTGTGCTGTCCCTGAGCAATATAATTTCTCTGAATTTTGTAAACTTATGGAGCTGTATAATCGGCATCTAATTTTCAAAATAATGTACAGCAAGGGTTGACCGTGCTAACCCGTAGTCCGCTCACCGCCAGTCCCAACTATCTGGCTAACAACGCCTGTCTAATTTAACTGCTTAAGTACGCATTTTATTCAGTCGGTTTTACTATGCTCCAGTGTATGGAGTACCACTGCACAACGAACGTAAGACAGAATATTTTTATAAATTTTTCGTTTTAAATTTAACACGAACTACAGGATCATAAAGGAATAATGTTATTCAAATGTACAGTATCGGAGTCTATAATTTCTTGTTAGCCATTCTTGGAATGTTAACAGTTGATTGATTGCAGGCGTGTGATGTAGAGGGCTACATCACATTTCTTGAATTCTTATTTGCGTGATCTTCCCTGTACTCCTGTGCCGCGTTCGGACTTGTAATGTTCAAGGTCGCCTCCTCTGCCCCTGCCGTGTGGTTTAGCTGTCACTCTTGCCAAGGTCACGCTCCTCCACTGCAATATGTGTAACATCGAGCGTTTCTCCTTGTTTCAGAGCCGATCACGGAGATACTAGGGGGTTCTGACCTGTTCATCAACAGAGGAAGTACGATCAACTTGACGTGTCTAGTGAGATTTGCTCCAGAGCCTCCACCAGCCATGCTCTGGAGCCACAACAGGGAGGTGAGAGTTAACACAAAATCATCCTAAATAAGTGTGTGAATATTCGCTTTGTTAACAGTTCGAAAAACCTGAAGCCTGCAACTTTACTCACGACTCAGATAAACGTTTGTCTTTTCGTACCAAATAATAAATGTTTCGAATGGTCATGTGAAATTTAACAACCGAAATACACTCTAAAGTTTCTGACCTAATCGTTTAAACGAATCCTATACTGAAGTTCGAAAAGGTATTTATGTATTTGCGTTATGCGTTTGCTATCCAGGGACTAGTAACTGGTTTATGTCATCAAGGTAATGAACATTCGGGTTTCATAAAATGCAGGGACTTTCTTGACTAACTGATCGTAGTATTTACGAGTGGTCTGAAACAACAAAGGCATTATGGTAATTTTTTTTCAGTATCTGTGTTAGGAAGATCTAAAACTCACAATATATTAAACTCCAAAGGGATAAAACTTCGGTGTGTGTTTATTCTCTTAATTCTTCGAAGCAAGAAAGAGAAAAAGAAAGCGTGGACCGGAAGGATAGTGAGAGACACTGGCGGGTTGTCGGTCTGTGAAATTTAACAGCTAGTGTCTCATTGAGGACCGTCGTACGCGCTCAGATGCATGCCTACTAAAAGATAGGCCGACAAACTGATACATTATCTCCACACATTGCACTCAGCTCGTGTATTTCACCGACACAAATCGAATGACACATTGAATAGGTATTACTAAGGATTTAGAAGGAGGTAACTTGTCAGTTTGGTAGTACCATACCAGTATTAACCAGAGACACTGAAGATAACCGCTTAAAACCTCAATTAGGATCTTATCCAGGCATTTCTTGAATACTTGTGTGTTATTTCGTACGGAACTGCTCATTGTGTGTCATGATACAAAACGTTAAGGCTCGTGTTATAAACTATTTATTCTGACCCCAATTGCATAGCGACTTGCAAGGCGACACCCGGCATTGAAAACGACAACGCTAAATTGTGAGAACGTCCCTGATTGTTGCCAGGTAATCAACTTCGACTCACCGCGAGGTGGCATCAGCCTGGTAACGGAGAAGGGTCCCGTTACCACGAGTCGTCTCCTCATCCAGAAGGCAATTCCGTCAGACACAGGGCTGTACACTTGCGACCCTTCCAACGCCAACCCTGCAAGCGTCCGTGTGCACATACTTAACGGTAAGGCTGTAAGGTTGTAGTCACGTCGGAAGCGGATCCTTCCGAATCTGACTCTCTCACTCAGGATATTCTGTCCGAAACGCTGCAGACAATTTTTTTTTTACTTTACATCCTATCAGCGCGACGGCACCACATGCGATTTGCCGAAACGCTGCAGACAATTTTTTTTTACTTTACATCCGATCAGCGCGACGGCACCACATGCGATTTATGTTTTCACTGGCACTCACATCAAATGAATTAATTCATTTATTCATTCATTCATGCGTCTTCGGTTGAACTCGATTTCTGCTAGATCATATATTTGGCACCGCATGCAGTTGTCGTGGAGTTGTTTACTGCAATCCCGAATAGAGACAAACGTAGATTGTTGGAATTTGAGAATAGGGTGCTGAGAAGAATATTCTGACCTGAGAATGGTTAAGTAGTGGGAGGGGTGAGAAAAGTGCATAAACCGGAGCTTAATCATTTCTGCTCTTTACCAGGTATTATTTGGATGATAAAGTAAGGGAGAGTGTGGTGAGTGGAACCTATAGCACACGTGGGGGAAATAATAAATGTATACAGAATTGAGTTCAGAAAACCAGAAAGAAAGAGTCCACTTGGAAGATATACAGTGCGTACAGTTGTTTCCAGTCGTGTTGTGGCAAGTTTTTTTGTTATAAATACGACATTGCCTCGCCTCATTAGTTCCGACGCTCGTGTATCTCTTTAAAGCACAGTGGTTATTATGTGTACCACCTACTTTAAATTTAAATAATATGTTGCCAACAGAATGTATTTTGGGATTTTGTATGATTTCTAAAATAAAGAGTTATTATTTTCCTGACCATCATTAACGTATTTTTCTTTATAATGGAGAAGTTTTATGTTCTTTGAAACCTTGCATACCGTGTAGTGGATTGATATATAAAATAATGCATTGAAACTAAGTGGCTTTTCAAGTTTAAACAGTTCTGTTTGAGTGCATGATTGTATATATTTTGTGTTCCGTAGACATTGTATTTTTAGATATTATTTTACATATACTTCTTGCTTTAGGTTATTTAAGATGCTAATCTACAAGCTACACACTGCAGATGTGACGATGATTTTGAGTCAGAACTCTTTTTCTTTTATTTCTTTTAATGTGTACAATATCTGATTTTTTCATTTCAGTCTCGTGTAATTAATTTTGCGTATCATTATATTATTTGTAAATATTTATAAATTTTTATGCGAGTTTTAAGTAAATTATGTCATACTGCACTGATTAGAGTCTAAATTAAATTCGTCCAACAAATTCTTACGTAGATCTCCAATACCAAATTCCATATAAATATCTCCTCTTGTTTCGGAGATGAAAAATACATAGTGACGGACGAAGGCAGCTGCCATATTGTGCGGTCAGTTTACGCGTTTCGTACATACAGCGCGTGCAAACTTTCGGCAGGATTCTGTTGTGGTTCAGATGAGCGTGAGAGGTCTGTTTAAGAAGGAATATAGTTGGGAAAATAAAAAAGTGTGTTTGTCTTGGCCAGTTTCATTGTGTGCAACATGCGATCATTAATCTCCTTGCTTTCTCATTTGCGGTAGAATTTCCACCGAAAGCTGTGACCCGCTATGCAAAGTAGAACAGGCTGCTATCCGTATGGGGTTAATTCTTCTTTGTTAACTCTAGCTCGTGATGCTGACAGTAATGTCCCCACCTCGTCATCATCATCTTCAGCAGTCTCAGCTTACCGTATAAATGCGCTTTGATAACAGCACTAGAAATAAAATTGCATTTAGTCTTACGCTAACAAAGTACCTTTTCTTTTCCAACTTCGAATGTAGTGATTTGCATCAAACACGAAATACAGACTTATAAAAACAAGAATCTGAGAGGAGTAAGATTAATGAGTGTTATCCTTATTCCACAGAATCCGGCAATCAGAGCCTCTAGGGCTCGCTAGTTTTTATTTTCGATTCGGATTCTGGTAATCCTGATGACAGTTTCATGTCTTGTTCTTTAGCACAGCCACGTATATTATGGAATTTGTATAGCGTACTGAAATATTCCAAAGCCGTCTCCCTCTACATATTTTCAAATATATTATTTACAGTCACCCTACTCGTTGACTTGCAATTAACTCCATAGAGCAGAGATCCTTGCCTTTTATGAGATCCGAATATTTATTACAGAGCTTAAGATTCCACCACAGATTCCTGTCCTAAGTCCAGTGATCATAATTACACACGATTTATTTAAGATCCTTTTTATTATTTTAGATATCCAAATGGTCTTTTCGCTTCGTGTCTTCCGAATAACATTGTTTGTTAATTTTTATATGACTACATACGTGTCCAAAATAATAACAAATCAGTCATTCCGTCAATCATACACAACCTTCCGAACGATTCTAGTTCAAAGCCGCGTATCTTCAGCAGTAGCTAGAGCGTGTTGCTTATGTTTCAGGCGAACACCCGGCCGCGATGTACCATGGGCTGGCCGGTGTTCCCACACGCCCGTCTCTCAGTGCCTTGACAGCGCTAGTGCTCATCATCACCTTGCGGGCAGCAGCCATATTGCATCACCAAGTGTAATCAAGAGAAAGCGTGTGAGTGAATTCATCGTCATGTAACGTTTGCCCTTCATCCACATTTTCCTCTACATATCAGTGTATACAGAAAACTAATTGATACCAGACCTCAGTCCTTCAGCAAAAGAAACATTCCGTATTTTTAAACATCTTCCTAATTATAAATTACCTTCAGACGAAGCGTATAGCAAACTAAGATTTCTGTGACTATTTCAATGTATATGCCCAGATATTAAGGACTTATCGATACGTGTAGAGAAACTATGAAAAGGGAAGACCAAAAACTGTAATATTTCGAATAAGACATGTTTAAGTGAAGTTCTCGATTAGTTCTTCAAAGACATTTTCGTATGTTGCCTTGTGGGTTTTGCCTCAAGTCCTTAAAGCACGATTTGTTGAAAGTGAACTGCGTAAATTCTGTTTAAACGTCAAGTTTCTTTTGATATGGAATCAGATAATGATAATGGGACTAGATTCAAATGCGACATCAAGACTAGAGTTAGGATTAATTTATAACTTTCAGATGAGTCAGACCTCGGTCTCACCCCCGAATCCTCTGCTCCTGCATTACTTACAGTGGGTGAACGTCGATACATTAAGTGTAAATATTGTGCAATAATTTTGAAAATAACTTTTTGTACAATCTGCAGATAGTCGATCTATAATCACTTTAATCGCAAGAGACTTTGATAGTCAGGATGGGACAAACCGCTTTAAACTTGGCGTTATTTTGCCCCATGGAAGGAAAAGTTCGTGTCATCTTTTATTTCAGTTGGAAAGGGGCAAATTTAAGCATAGATTTCAACAAACGCCTAAGTAATTGTACTTTTATAATAGTAAGTGATTTAGGCATTGTAATTTGTTTTGAATGTGGGAAATATAAATAATACGTTGAGGACCTCACATTTTTTTCTACTTGTCTCAAGGACACTCTCCGGTAATTCTGTGGATGAAGACTGAAGAATTGTGAAGTCGTTTTAGGCAAAGAAATGGTTATAATCGTTCTCAGTTTGGATGCAGAATAATGTTATGGTGGTAAAGGGAAGAATGTTGGATTGTAAAAATATTTTAAATTTTATCACGTTTGTTTACACCGTGATGATCAAACGTGTTTTTGCAAGGAAATTGCATATGTTTATTGAATCTCGATTTCCTTGCAAAATTTTATTTTTAAGTCAGAACTCTGTTTCATGTTTGTGAATAAAGTATATTAATATTGTATATGATTTATTAACGTCTTAGAATTATTTAAGATAGGTTTTTATAACTTTTAATATTTCAGTTACGTTTTCATCGATGCATCTGTCTTTACGTGTGAGCGATTGCATTGATAAATTCCTTAAAACTGGAAGACGTAAAACAAAACGTTCATAATAACTGAATTTTATATTCTATAGATTATTACGTAGAACATGAGCAAGACGTACTTTTAGGCAAATGTTCATTTCCGAACAGTTGCGTAATTGAAAGAGTTTTTGCTTTCGAGGGTAGATCTGCTTTTCTGATTTGATTTTAGAGCCGTATTACATGATTGTTGTCAGATTGCTTTATAAATTATGTAACCATTGATTTCCCTGCATGTCTGATTGTTGAAGAAGTATATAGGCTTCTCCCTAAATTTTCAAAACTACGTCTTTCTGCGCTGTTGCGTACTTTGGCAGTTCATATACTCGGCTACGATTTACTTCTAGATCACGTAATAAAACCTAATTACTAATGTCAAATGAATTAAGAGCGACTTTTCAGTACGTCACAACACCACGTTCCATTATATTGTGTCGAATCCAGAGAAGAGCGACTTTGCAGTACGTCACAACACCACGCACCTAACTGTTCGTTCCATTATATTGTGTCGAATCCAGATCCAATCTTAGACGTAACATTGTCGATAAAACTCGTTTACACTTTATATTGCCATGGCGTCAAACGTATGAAACAAATTATTCAACGGGTACTTCTTTGTTAGAGATTATGAATCGTCGGGTCGCGTCGGCTGTGCGATAAGTTTCAGCGTCACAGTGTGTAAAACAAGACATGTATAGAACTGAAGGCGTCTCTGACAGAAAAAAATGCACTTGTTATGGACGACGAGCGCTCAGAATGTCTGTTGTAATGTAATGGGAGTTGCCAGAGGGACAGAAAAAGGTTTAGGACACAATGTTGTATGTGTTTATCGTCTGTCCCACTCGTACTTCATGTCGATCGCATCCACCTTGATTTAACGGCCCAGATAATAACATTTTGTGAGGAGTGGGACAACACGTGAAATTTGTTGACAACGAAAGCACGAAACCTTACCTGATATTCTGCAGAAAAGCGTGTCCGCCATTCTCACACTTTGTCTTTCTTTACTCTTTGAACTGAGATGTTTTTGTGACATCAGGTTGATGATAAGGAAGACAAAACAGCAAAGATAAATTAAGACCTCCAAGAACTGGCCATTTGTGGAGATGTAAATTCCTGTATAATTCACAGATTGCGTGATGTTCCATTGAGTTTGTTCTGCGAAGCACAGAGCAAAACACTAATTTCAAGTCTTCTAACTAAATCATTGCTCAATATCAGGATCATAATGAGTCGTTTGTAGGGTCTAATTAATGCTTAACACACGTAAGTAAAGAGGTTCGTAATCTAATGCTGCATTGATGTTTTCGTATTACAACGCTTACGCGGGCTAGTCTAGTCATAATTAATAACCGTTTGTCGAGCAAGGCACTTACTTTCGTCAATTAGAAGTTTTCTTTTGTTTTGAATCCTACTTCTGTAATTAAGTACATTGTTATGTAGGGGTTTTGGACATGGAGGAAAGGTCCCGCGAATTATGTGTATTACAACATCGTCTCTCTTCTTATCTAAACAGGCCCCACCCACAATGTGACGATGAGTGAGGTGGAAACCTCACTATAGACGTGAATTATGTTTGCGTTGGTTTGTTATTTTGTCACATTTTTATTCATGTTCTGTCGCCTGAAAGCCGTCATACGGAGTAAAAAGGAAACATCTCTGAAATATTGGTCTAGTGACGTCCATATATTCGTCACTAGCCACAATGCTCTGCTTTCCTCTCTAGGCCCTAGATTATTTGCTGGCTTTTATTTTAAGTGATCCTATATATTATACAAAGAAAAAATTTGAAATGTTGATTAGGAGAACAGAAAATATTCCCGTAGCAACCGTTGTCCTGGGAGCCCTCTCAGACTACGTCCGCCTTCATAAATTGTAAAGAGGCAATGACATATATAAGTCAAATCTAATACATAAAAAAACGTATTTAAAGCCACCTTCGTGATCTTTTGTAAAGGTGAATTAAAAATTAACTACAATGAACACATTTAGTGAATTGCACATTTCTTATTTACAACAGAATAGATTAATACGTTAATTATTTTCGTTCGTAAGACGTGTGTCTCTTGTAAATAAGACAAGTATCCGAATATACAAGCAATAATTAGGGATTGTGACAATTTTTTTAATATTTTAGTATCCCATATTCTGAAAATAAAAGTTTACGGATTACAATAATTCTTGTTGAACTGAATATATGTTAGATTATATGATGGGGCGATATAATGTAATGACAGCTTAATATTGGACATCAGAGTGAAAAACAAGGTAATTCTGTGCGTGAATTTACGACCTGTGACATTAAAATCAAAAGTCCGCATATAATGGGTTAATATGCCTTGGAACTGCATGCGCTGAGTAGAGATAAGAGGGTTACTTCGGTGAAGTCTTTGAACCGATAGCAAGAACGCAGTTTCGTTCTGTTAGGTATACATATCAATCATGTGCTGATATTATAGTGCATTAGAATGAACGCTCCCTCAGCAGTGGCAACTTATCAGCCGGTCGAATATAATAAACAGCCTTAAGAAGTGTCCATATCGACTTCCGATATAAGATAGGTTGTCTTGTGTTGAAGGAATTATGTGGCAAGTATGAAAAGAGAATAACCCTAAGCTTTCTGCAGTAAACCAATAGACTGCCGCTTACGAACAGCTGGAATCGATATCCCCGGCTGCTGCCTCAGCAGAAGCGTAGGACTTGTTCGTTGCGGGTTGCTTCATCATTATGTTCACAGGAGAGTAAGCACGTAACAAGCAAGTTTCCAGCCAACTCGCCACGATCGTGGCTCCATACACTGACGCAAAGCAATCTCTTGACGGAGCTGAAAATATCTTGCTACAGCAAAGCTGTTTATTAACGACTCTGCTTTTCTTAATGGCTTTGTTTTATTTTCGTGATACGCTACAAACAGGATAGTACAAAAACGTATATGATTAATTTTGTTAAAACAGTACTGTAAGAAATCCCTTTAAATAGAGTGGGAATGATTTATTTAGTGCCTTAATTCCTCGCCCTCATATTTTGTTTTATTTGTACCACCTGTGCTTTAACCTCCACTCTCCTTTCTCTCGTATTTCTTCTCCATCCTTTCCTCATCTCAGTTGCCTCCTTCTTACCTCTCGTATTAATTTGTCTATTTGAATCCCTGTCCGCGACCGCGTCCTTCCACATCCGTTCCAGTTCATTGTTTATTATCCTAGTATTTTATTTTCCAAATGAACATTTCTCGATTCAGTAACATTCCCCACAGTCTCTTTGTCATGTTCCTCGCCAGTACGTCAGTGGTAAATGATTTTTTGGAACAAAGTAAATCGTTACGTTACTAACAAACCATTTAATCAAAGTTTTACGTATTCAGAGCATTATTTTATTTGCGTATTTTATTCTTTGTTGTTTCATGTTGCTCATATTCTACACATATTAATATTGATACCAAATTTGTTTGTAACCCTCGTTTTTGACACCTCCGTGTTCTGTCTGAATTAATTTTCATCAAAATTAATATTGATGGCTCTTAATGATTTTTATTTTACGTATTGTTCAGTTTCAAATATATAGAACGCAATTTACACTAAGCCCTAATTGTGTTTCTAAATGATTCTTAGCATAAAGCTATAAAAAAGAGTCATTAAAACAAATTTCCGTTAGTGTTAAATGTTTCATATCGAGTATCGTTTCGTAACGTTAGAAAATATTATAAAATCTGTACTTTTTTAAAGAAAAGGATGCAGTTCACAAATCTGTTCCCCCTTATAGGACAAAGTTATGCTAAACCGCCATAAACATACAGGAAATTATAAATTCAAAAAACATTTTGTTAAATGGCCCATTATATGTGGCGTTAGAACAGGCGACTCTGTATTTTCTGCTTTAAATATAAAAGGTTATGTTGATTAAGTGTCATGATATTTTCAATACAACTGGGTGCTTATGTCTACATTGTATATTAAAACTGAGACGTGTCATGGCATTTTGCTACGTAAAAACTTGCGTGACTGTGAAGTTTCTGTAGATATCATCTCTCACGTCATTCTGAAGCAAGCCCTAATTTGTTTCTTGACTGAAACGAACGTATAAATCTGTCAATATTTTTTTTTCATCAATCGTTTCAGCGTCAACGTGGAAACAACATTGTTGTTAACTAAAAAACAGATTGTATCTGCAACTGTTACTTCCCATGCAACAGTTATTTTTGATTGCAGTTAGTAATTACTTTAAAATTGCGACCACACTCGCCTAGTATACACTTTATTACGTACCTGCGTTCTTTCCACGTTGTGAGACGTTCAAGTTCGGTTTAATATCGTGTTCAATTATCGAACTATATTATCTTTAGATAAGAGAGTGAATCCTTGCTCTATGAATATTAATACTAACCTATTACGCCGATAAAATGTGTTTGTCACAAGGAAATATACGTTTTAGATACATTAACACCGGAGTTGCTCAAGGCGCTAAGCTCGTGGTTCTCTAAATTACAATGCGTCCGCTGATAAAGTTGAACGCAGCTGTCACTTCACGGCTCTCGGCAACAACCGCTATAATGCCGATACGTTGGCTTTTTTTAAAAGGAACGATGCCTGATTCGTACGGGAAAGAACTTGAAGGGCTCGTCGGTGCAATTTTTGACATGTAAAACTTTTTTTTTAACTTAATAGTTTATAATTTCGATACACAAGTTTCATAAAACGCAACGTCTCTTTGAACGATACTTTTTCTAAAATGCTGCCATTCAGCGTTCTACATTCTATTTGTATAACTCGGTGCATATTCATGGTATTTCTGATATGAAATTCAGAACGAATGTGTTAAGGTCATCACACGACTGTAAGAGGAGGGCCATTTCACATAACTCGTGTGTATGAGAGAGGG